ATGAATAAATCAAAAAGAACAAAGACATAGTAAAGTTCGCTGATAACAAAAAACATTTAAAAATAATCCTAACTAAATGTTAGTACAGAGTTGCAAAGCAAGTTCTCCATGAAATTGGCAATAAAACAGCAGATAAAGTTTGGTGTAAATAAATACAAGAGAAACATGTTAAAAAATAACTCAATGTCATAACAATGTGGTAACTACTGTACAATGTAAGAAAAAATCTTATTATTTTTCTACGTAGTTTTTGAAACAGTATCACTTCAGAGCTCAATGACAGTCAAAAAATGCAAGACTTATTAATGAGTAAGAAAGGAACAGAGAATGTAAGTATCATTATACCATGCAAAAATTGATGGTATACCCTCATCTTGACTAGTGCATGCAGCCGTAATCACCCTAACTCTTAAGTTATACAGAATAAGTAGAAAGATTCAGAGAATAGCACCAAGAACTAACCACAGGTTAGAAGAAGTTACTATAAAAGCAGAGACAATATATTAGGATTCTTCAATTTGGTTGAGAAAAAGAGAGACTACAAGTGGCATGTAAAAAAAAGATGTTTGGGGAAAAAAAAAAAAGAATTATGAAGTACATCAGTAACAACTAATCTTTACTATTTCGAACACAGGAACATGGTGGAAATCAGTTAAACCACTGGTCAGCACACTTAAGACAAAAACATCAATATTTTTGCCACAAAATACTTGTAATTATTGCCAAAACTGTAATCAAAGTCAGAAAAATTCACAACTTGAGTGAGTCTCCACCACTCACACACCAATAGCTATAAGAACAATGTCCAAAAGGCCAGCTCTGTCCAGGAAACCTCCCAAGCCCCTAAGTGCTGGGCTTTGCCGGGAGAATATGACAGTAAAGATGGCAAAGTATTTGCCCTATTCTTTCCTTAGGCATCATTGCTGGACGCAAACAGACCATCTATACTAACCTGAACAGACCTTCAACAGGAGTTGGGAAAGGACAGGAAAGGAAGATCTCCTTCCACCATCTTATTTAATTAGCCTTTAACAGGTACATACTTAACTATCACCAAATTCCAATTCTATTTAATTGAAAATTGCTTATCTTTATGTACCTTTGGAAATTCCAGCCAATACTGGGCCAACAATTTAAATTCTTAAATAATTTGGTCACTGTATTGTGACCTTTAAAAGGAAAACTCCAGTAGTAGGCTGCACACAGATTTTAAAAATAAATAAATAAATAAATTAAAAACCACACACAAGATAAAAAGAGTAAGTGGTACCTCTTGAGGTTTCAACTTTTCTATGTCCGTGGAGAGGTCTGAGCTTTTTCCATGAAGACTGCCATTCTCCTGTAAACAGGCAAGTAGTAAGAACAATTAGGACAAGATATTCTATATTGAAATTATGGGAAAAAGCACCGGATTTTGAAGTTAAAGTTGAACATGTAAGACAATTATAACTTATTTAAACTCTGTATGTTAATCACCACAAGGAATAACCTAGGAATGTAGAAGGCTAGGTGTATCATTTGCCCTGCCCCCTGAGAAACTCTGATCTATATTCTTACAATACAGACCCATACACTCGTTTTAGCTCTTCCTCAGAGTCATCTGATCTGGCAGCATAGGAAGCAGTAGTCAGAACTTTGCTTTGTGCAAAATTCTGAACCAGTAATGTAATGTATCTCATCAGTTGAAAGAAAACCAAAAAATAAAGACCATACATCTTAACCAAAATTTATGCATGCAAACTTGATTTAGACTGGTAAATGAAGTCCAGTGCTTTCTCAGTGATTTCAATGCAGAAGGGAACTTCCTTTGTTCTACTTTTTTGCAGAACATGGCCATGGGATGAATTAATTTGTGCCTCTTAACCATTACCAATTCTATATACAGACAGTATATATTTCTAGTGTTAATCACTTTTTTGGGGAAAACACAGGAATGGAGTTTTCCTGTAAAAGAAATTCAGTTTTCTTTAAAAGAAAACTGTTGTCATTTAAATGACATCCCAGAAAACCATTCTTTATTGCTTCATGCAGGGCCTCTACAGAAAGTTTTTTTTTTCCCCTCCCACTATCAAATTCTTAGGTGTATTGAAGGCCTGGGCAAAGATCTATATTCATCAGCCAAACCCTCTGTATTTCTTTGGATACCCACTTCACATGGATTCTGCATAATATCTTTCCCGACTCTATGGGATAGTCCTTCCTTATTCCTCAGTGCATGAAGATGATATACTACATAAAACCAAGGAGATGCACGTGTTTTGTAATCTTTCAAAGCCTAGCACCAGAGGCTGATGCCTCCTAAGACAACCCAACCACACCAGGCTCTCAGGAAAATCTAAACCTACCATCATCCACTACCCGGTCAGTGATCCCGTCAGGAACTCCTGCTGTACCGATGCTTCAGGACTGTGGAGCCAACAGCTCACAGCTAAGCTGACCCCATGGAGAAATTTTATGGACAGTCTAATGTCATGTTCTATGCTAACATGAAACTTGCTCTTAAATTTATATCATTTAGATGGTTTTCCAAAAAGAAAGTCAGTGTAGGAAGACATTTGTAAAAATATTCAACTTATAATAATCTTTCACTAGAATGTAGGACTATTGGGGTTCCCCCCCCCATGATTTCTGCTGCCTTTAGACAAAAAAAATCCCCTATCAAAGTGAAGAAAACTTTATCACCTCAACACTACAGGCACAAATTAATTTTTTTTTTTTAAAAAGAAGCCAAAACATACAAAACATTGTTTTGGGAGACAGAAGGAAGAGGTGAACCTGATTGTTTCATTTTTAGTTTATAAATCAAGAAAGCTTGTATGCAAGTATTAGGTCTTTTCCTGTTCTAAATTTTATACTGATGCACACAAAACTATACTATAAAAATCATTAAATTCAGCCACAAATACAAGTACGGAAATAAATCTACGTGTCAGTATTTTCAGTCTCTAACTGAATCAGACAGCATTAACTGCCAATTTTCTAAAATTAAACATACTTTATAATGTATTTAGCTTGAATTAAGAAAGACCTATTAAAACAGTATGCTCCAGTTTAAACAAAATGAACATATTTTCTTTAAAAAAAACCAAAACAAAACCAAAACAACGACAAAAAAAAACCATCACAAGCTGTAAATAATTGGTGCTTCAGAATGAACTCTCAGTATCATCTCGAAGTACTAGCATGCAAGAGAAAAATCCTCTGGACTTAGCCAGCAGCAGAAGAAATACTTCAATAACATTCTGGGGATAGATTCCATCAACTCTTAACAATATATTCAGTTTGGCTAGAGTCCAACTGGCTTTAGCTGAAACTGTCCTCACATAAATTAATGATTCAGCAAGAATTGTTTGCTGGGAGGATAAATTTCTTTTTTTCTGTCTCACTCTTTTTTTTTTTTTTTTTTTTTTGTTAATATAAACTATTTTAACTCCAAGCTGGGGGGAGGGGGACACCTGACGCGTAAGAATTTAATGTCTCTCTTTTTCCTGAAGCCTTCCACAGTGCTCAAGAAAAACCTACATTTACATTTGCTTTTCTTAATGATACACCCAAATAGCACCAACCTCTTCCTATGATTCTAAATTCTGGTATACCTCTGTTAGAGCACTAACATCTGCCTTTATTACCAACTTCAGGGTATAATGGTATAATTTGTGGAGAGTTTGATTCTTGACTAGTGTTTAAATATTCTAGTCATGATCTTCAGTTATTGTAAAAAAAAAAAAAAAAAAAATCAACGCCAACAAAAAACCCCAAACAACAAACCAAAAAAAAAAACCCAAACAAACACACACCAACACACCAGGCACCCTGACTTTACATTATTGGAATGTTAGCTGGCTGATCCTCTAACATAAAAAAATTATGTGATTAATATAGCCACAGAGCCAATGAATCACAAGCTCAAATTCCAGTTAGGTCAGCTTAAAATTGATCAGCAACATCATAAATGAGTGTCAAAACACCAAACACACACAATAAGAATACGAATTACTAAAAGCTGCGTAATAAGATCCCATTTCATTCTACATTCCAAACGTAGAAAAGGCATCTAAAGGCTGGGCTTCATGCCTCAAATTATGCAGAATGTTTTAAAAGAATGCCTAATTTCTATGTTGCACAGAAATACTTCCGCAACCCATAAAGTTCTTCTTTTTATTATAATTTATTTACCAAAGATCAATCGAAACATTAGGACTTCATGATAAGTCTTTCTAATGCTTCCAAAATCAGACAGAGGTTTTAACAATATCCAGTGACCTGCACAAGACCTTGCAGCCTACCCACTTCATTCCGCAGTGAGAGAAAGCTGCAAAGGTGCAAGAGCTAACACAGCTCTCTGGCTCAAGGGTACTGAAATCAGAACAGATTATTTAGACTAGGCCTATCAGTTATGCTGTGTATTTCTAGGAATTAATTCATTAGGTACTTAGTTCATTGGCTTTTTAGGGAGTAGATATTCATAAAAAGAAAATTGAGCAGATTAATGTGATTGACTAAGGGGAAAGCTTGCTTTTGACCATTGAGGCTGGTTTTAAAAAGGCAATGTAGTTTTAGGGTATCAGATACTATCAAAAACCTTTACCTCAATAAGCAGAAGCTGCAACAGGAAAAGGAGGAAGGTATTTAAAAAGAGAAGCCTCTCTCCAACATCATGACACAGCACATACTATAGCTACTTTGCCAATAAATCTGCTCCTGAATAAGTAACATGACTTCTATTTTCATCTTCTGACCATCAGGTAAATACAATGCATGCTCATCATTCAAGTACACAGTTATGTACGGTTTATTTTCATGAATTCTTAACCTATATTATTTTTTAGCCTTAGAAATCTGAATCACTATTGCAGCATATCAGTCATTTAAGTCTCTAAAAGATGCTAATCTGTGTATTTAAAGGAGCTTACCCTTCAAAAACATTGCCAAATCATCTGCTGATTTTCACTGTACATTCCCATAAACTTTCACTATGAATTATTACTTGGGAACCTTACCCTTGAAGATTCATATGAAGGACTTGGCTGACCGCTTGTTCCCCAGGATGTGGCACCTGTTCGCTCATCCATACCTAGCAATAAAAGGAAAAATACAGTATATAAAAAAGATAGCAAAAGCATAATGTTCTCTGATGCAACCTGAAAGCAAATTCATCCACTTCCATATACTTAAAGCAAATTCATCCGCTTCCGTATACTTAAAGCAGTATTTCTAAAAACAAAACTTAAGATGAACAGTTTCCTTGTTAATGAAGCTGGCTACAAAGCAACCTACTCATTTGGACACCTGCAGCTGCTGAAAACAGGAGCATAAAAAGTCAAGAAGATTTGCCAATCTGCAGTGTCTGCCCCACCCAATCCATAAGAAATTAGCATGAGTAACAAAACAAGCACGACGATGTTAGCCTGGCTTTTTGCACAGCCTGATTTATCCTGCATCTTAAGCACTGAATATTGCAGCACATACTGTGAAATGTATACTTGTTACCTACTCTTTGCTCTCATGTCTTGCTTAAGTATTGTAAAATGTGCAAAATTATTTCCCCTGCTTGGTCTTTACATGACATGCAAGATATTTTAGCGTAAGGGGGGGAAAAAGGCAAGACAGACTTCTTATTGGTTATATTTCAATGGCTTAAAAAAAAAAAAAAAAAAACCACAGAGACTCATGGTGTCTGCCCTACTAAAACAGGAATCTCTTTTAACTCTGTAACGGTTCTTTCAGAATCAGTTCCCTTTATGCAAATCCAGGTTACAGCTCAAAAGAGAAAGGGGAAGGAAAAAATAGGGAGATCTTTAAGCTCAGTATCAGAATATATACCCCACGCATTATCTAGCCAACAATTAGAAATACTGTTGCCAACACTTTCTCCAATTACCTTCTATTCAAAGTTAATTGATCAAACCATCCTTAAACCACATTCCAAAAAAACTAATTGCAAAAGTACCTGAATTCTATAGCCAATTCATTCATATAGGATAAGGTTACTATTCTAGTAGTTAGGTTCCTGATTATCCGTATCACAAGATATGTTTTTTTAATGGGTGGAACACTTCGACCCTAAATTGCAGTCTTCCACGCACTTCAGCCTACAAAACACAACTCATTAGTTCCCTGCCACCCAAACTTCTCTCATAAAGAGTTTTGATATAGAGCATAAATTCTTTATGTGATGTATAGTATAAACTATTTATGAAGCTTTATAATGTCGTAATTTATAAATAAGAACTAAATGTCAAAATTTATAAATAAGACCTGAGTGCAAGTTACTCCGTGCAATCATCCCTAAACCCTAACTTTATATTGCAAATATATATATATAAAATTTTCATGCATATATCTCAGACTGGCCACACTACAAAATAAAATGCAAGGAAATACTGTAAATAACTATCTATGGAGTAATAGTATTCTAATCATTATTTCCTTAAGAAATGTGTTTTATGAAGCTACAAAATACTGTTTTGACAAAGACAGCCTGCAGAAGGCATGTTAAACAAAGTACAGTACAATGACCCAGATAAAAAATATAGACACCGTTTGTGTACTGCAGGAAAGATCCTCAAGGCTGGAGAACGCTTTTTGAAAATGCAAAACCACCACTATAGTGAGCCAGCAATTTGTGGAAGTTTGCTGCATTTTGCAGCTGACAGTATTGTTGTTGTTTCATTGTAACTGGTCCAGGAGCTGAGTAAAAAGTGGTGGCTGGCACTGACAAAGGCAAAAGTAATCTTTTGGCACAACTGACTCTTTTCTGACAGAAACAACAGCACTAGTAATCCAGTGATTATCATAACAAGTCTTCCATTGCTTTAGTTTCAAAAAAGACAGGGGGGGGTGG